AGTCAGATGCTCGGGTATCAGCGTTCCCGTTGAGCAAGAAGCTGGCGCAAAGTGGATCCAGCGCAGATATGATTGACATGCGCTCAATTTGTTCATGCTGCAAGCGGCCAGAGCATCGAAGCGTATCGAGGGATATATCGAGGTGTTCAATGGAACAATCCAAGATCATGCCCTTGCGCATCCGCTCCATCACTGGTCACAATGACTGGGTGACAGAAGCGGTGGGGTTCAACCACGCGCATCACCCGCAATGCCAACTATACCCGTGACCATGCGAAGAATGGCGCCCGGCCTGGTTCTGTCAAAACTTCACGGACGCTCGCCGAAAGCGCGATCCCCAAAATTGCATAGCGCACGCGCACGACGCAAGGTTTCTTTGACATCATAGATCCAGCAGGCTTCAAACCATGGCATGCGTAGCACTCCGACTCGGGCACGTGAATGACTTCGGCGTACCTCCAATTTGTTGCCTTCTTCATATTTGAGATGCTGCCAAAGACCACTTCGACCACGGGTCTCCCCGGGCTGCTGATGGACCACTCGGGCCCAATTCTAGTAGAGAGCGTAGCGGGCGGTTTCGAAGCGCAGCTTGATCTGCTCATCCTTGGGAAGGTTCTCATCAACCAAACCGGTACACTTCGTTGGCTTTCTGATCAGGAACGGACGCATCGTGTCGCTGCAAATCCCGCGCCCCAAAACTTGTACTGCCCATTCAATCACGATCAGTCGTCGCCATGAACGAGAAGAGCGCAGGCGCGAGGTCCTTGCCGTCCTTGATGCCTTCGATACTGCCTGATCTTGTTGCGACGAAGGCTCACGTGCATGCGGTTGGACCATATGCATTTAGGGCCGCGTAAATGATGACCCTGCTTGAACTCCAAGCTTCAGTGACAAGGGCCTCCCCGTCTCCGAGGGCGTATCGACATCAACCGCGATGTTGATAGGGCGGTCGGCCCTGGCCTTGCGTTCAAGCCTGTCCCAGGCACTACCGTTCGGTAGGCATGGCCGCGCGACGTCGCACTCCCCGATAAATGTGTGCCCGTTTCAACTCATTGCTTCAATGCGACGTTCTGCAGGAGAAAATGCCGGACATCAAGAAAGTGGCACGTGTTGCGCGTCTTGAAGAGATGGCCGTTCCCTGAATCATGGAGCAAATCGAAACCCAGATATTGACGCAGCACATGGACTCTTAGGAGCGGCCAAGGAGGCTTGGGCATTATGAAAGCTCTGTCTTCTTTACGAGCGCCTCATCACCGACCCGTTTTCTGCCTACAGCGCTCCGCGGGGCGACCTGACGCCTTCTGCGCTTGAGTTTATCCAGAAAGTGGCCCGCTGTGTCGAGGAGATCAACCCCGACGATTTGTGTGTCTGCCACGGCGGACGATTTTTGCAGACCAAGCAGTTTGTGGCATTTATATGGCAACCTCGACCAGTGATGCCCAAGCTGTTCTGGTTGATCTGCTAATTTTCGTCGAGAGTGAGAGCACATTCAGGTGCTGGCAAGGCCCCTCTCCCCGCGTTGTGGGTGTGACAAGGAGGCCTATCCCACGCCTCTGGGCAGTGGCAACCACACCTACTGGAGCGGCTGGAACCAATCGTGGGGCCCATGGTGGGAAGAAGATCAACAACCCTGGACGCATCCCCGCAACTGGAACTGGCGCTGCTTTTCATCAGGATCTATGGCAGACATCAATTTACTTGTTAAAATCTCAATCCATTTCATTATTGTTCATATTTGCCGAAGATCCGGTGTACAGGTGTAGGTGTTGCCTCGCGAGAGCGATGGCCAGTGGAGACGGAAGATCTTAGCTGGCCTCTGCTTGATCATAAAGTGCCTATTCCCGTCAGGACCTCATGCCGCTTGAGTTAATTTGGTTGTTTCTGACCCCTAATACTTGTCCTCCTGTTTCACCGTCGGACACGGAGGGTGTATTTTCCTAAATGATGATTTATCAACCTCAATAGTCATTGCGCAATTAAGCGTAGAGGCGTAGAAGCGCAATAAAGCGTAGAAACGCAGTAAAGCGATGTAAAGCGTAGAAGCGCAAATAAGCGCGTGCAAGCGCAATTGAAGCGCAATGAAGCGCAAAAGCGCAATACAGCGCAGAAGCGTAGAAGCGCAATTAAGCGCAGAAGCGCAAAAGCGCAATTAAGCGCAGAAGCGTAGAAGCGCAGTTAAGCGCAATGAAGCGCAGAAGCGCAGAAGCGCAAAAGCGCAATACAGCGCAGAAGCGTAGAAGCGCAATTAAGCGCAGAAGCGCAAAAGCGCAATTAAGCCCAGAAGCGTAGAAGCGCAATTGAGCGCAGAAGCGTAGAAGCGTAATGAGGCGCAATAAAGCGTGAGCGTGTAAGTGCAGAAAAGTGCAAAGGCGCAGAAACGCAACCAAAATGATAAAGCATATAGGCTTCTAGGGCTTCTAGGCGTGACGCCAGTATTAGGCTTCTAGGCTTCTAGGCTTCTAGGCGTGACGCTGGTATTAGGCTTCTAGGCTTCTAGGCGTGACGCCAGTACTGGGCTTCTAGGCTTCTAGGCTTCTCGGCTTCTAGGCGTGACGCCGGTATTAGGCTTCTAGGCTTCTAGGCGTGATGCCAGTATTAGGCTTCTAGGCTTCTAGGCTTCTAGGCGTTACGCAACCCAAACCCCCCTACTCTCTTGGAAAACACGAAAACCTTCGAGTTTTCCGTGGACCATTTGACCGGCAGGTCTTTTGGGACCGAGGATTCCATCGTGCGAGTGCCTGAGTCCATGTAACCTTTGCACATGGGGGGCGATTTCCGCGCACGGTGTTCTGATGGTCAATGAACGCCCATTTATCCCCTCGTGTTCCTTTGCCCGTCAGGTCCCAACTTTTCTCCAAATTGGTTGCCCCCCAGTGTTCTTTGGGAGTGCCTGAGCCTACAGTGGCCAATATGCAGATGGCGCGCGCAATCTATCACGCTGACTGTGTGGTTTCTACGACTTCGAGGTCATGTGTCCTGGTCTGACCCTAGGATGATTCAATCTGTCCGTCATATTGCTAAACTCTGGCTTTTTCTGTGCTGGGGGGGTGCTTGGGATATCTTGTTTTTAAGGCAAGTTTGGCGACTTATGGGTCATATCTGCAGGGGACGCTCCAGTTCTGTGGCGGGGCAACTTCTGTTCACGGCGGCGCATGATTTGGCTAGAAGTGAGAGAGTTAGACAGCGAAGAGGTCCTGACTGGACATGCGGCTCGCGCTGTCGACGGTTCATGCAGTCTCAGTACCTTCTTCTCTCACATGCGTCTGCGCTGGACAAGACGCAATGGGACGGTTTCCTCCCAGCTTGGTACCACGGAATGGGGTGCAGTGCCGTGAGCGGGCATGCAATTTTGTCGAGGTTTCTGACGAGCATTTTGCATGGCATGTTCGGTGTGCTCAGGGGGTGTGCCTGGGCAGTCCAACAGTCTTCTTGTCTTGTGACTGCTGTCAGCTTCAGCTGTGCTGGTTGCATCGGCAAGAAGGGTGGCAGCAGTCCACTCACAACTTGCCGGGCGATGTCGGTGATTTTTGGACGGTTTGCGAGCAACTGCTGGAGGCTCGTGCTCAATGGACGACTGCATGTGCATTTCCGTGTGTTCGTGCTGTCCTTGCCGGAGTCGGTGACGTTTCCCACTCATTTTCCGAGGCTTTGGTCGAGCCGGCGTATCGTAGTTGAGATATCTATGTGTCCTGGGTGGGGGTCTCGTTCGCTGGACAAGCATGGCCCTCAGAGAATGCGGTACAAACAAATGTGTAACTGTTCAGCTTCTAGCTCTTAGACCTACCAAAATCCTGCACCGCTTTGAGACCATGGTTGAAACCAGCGTTTGTTGGCCTTTACACGGCAATCATCCTTGGGTTCTGAATGGCCTGAAAAGAACTTAGCACCCATGCACGGCTTGGGCAGATTTCTTTGCAGGACGACCAGATGTTCGCGCACCTCACGGTGGAAGAGGTGCTCAGGTTTTCCGGCCTTGAGACGAGTTTTTTTGGGGATGGGGTTGGGGGGGGTGCAACCCGCTGCTGGGGTTGGCGAGGGTTTGGAATCGGAACCTTGTGCCAGCCTTCTTTTCTACATGTATCATGTGGAGCTTTGTGCATGTGAGTTGCGTTGTCCGGAACTGCGAGATCCAACCAGCGGATAGCGTTCGCTTAAAGCTTGGCAAGAGCCATTGCTAATTATGTTTGTCCTTGTGCCCGCCTGACTTGAAGCACCTCAGAATAACAGGTGCACGCACTTGGACCCAGCCTTTCTGGAAAAAACTGCCCTCTCCAGTCCTCCCGTCCCTTTCCTCGACGAGCCGAGAAGCACGTACACATAGGAAGGGCAGCGGAAACCAACCTGAAACTCAGACAATCGGGCGGGGGTGTTCTTTAGAAGACCCAACATGGTGTGGGGAAATTGACTTTGGCAAGAGTATGGCAAGTCGAACATTCAAGCGGGATCTACCTGCCCCGCAGGGAGCCAAGAACCACCCTCGCCTTGAGAAACCTGCACTTGGGTTTGGGCTCCCGCCGGGCAACTGCCCCTCAACCAGTTCCAGGCCATTGCGCGTTTGAGAGTGGAGTTAATATGGAACAGACTTTGAACTTCTTATTTCTCAGTCCCTGAGTTCCCGAACTTCAGTCACATTTTTTTGGTTACTTCTTGTGGCCCATCCGCTCGTTGGGGTTGGGAACAAGGCCCGGAAACACGAGCCTGGCTCAGCCTGGAGCTGAGGTTCAACGAGGCTTTGAAGATGCCGAGGCCCTCCAGGAGAGCGGAAGCTTCTGACGAGACGTGCGAACTAACCTCATGTTTCTGAGTCTACCCCAAACCATCTATACATATTCACACATATATATATGATATGCATGTACATATATATACATATATATATATACACAGGTATTATGAGTATACAGGTACTATTATGATTATGTATGCGTATGTGGTTATTTATTTTCATTTAGTTATTGTCTATTGTATGTTTTGTTTTATAATTTAGTTCTATCGGACACATGGAACGCGCCAGGATCACGCGGTCCATGGCGCAGGCTCAGGAGGAGAAGATGCTGAAGGTCTTTGGGCTCTACGACATTCGGAGCCTCGGCGTTTCTGGCGAGTGTGGTTCAGGGGTCCGGGGGTTCAGGGGGCCTCTTTGTCGCAGGGTTTTAGAGGGGGGGCCTCTTTGTGGATGTGTGCGCGCGTGTGAGTTGTTTTTAGTTTCTGGGGAAGATGAAAAGCAAGAAGTGGTTGAAACCAAAGCAAGGGGCAAGGGGAAAAAGGGGTCTGTTGTGTTAGGGAGACCAACTCAAAAGCCCCCTAAGAAAAGACACACCTTACTGACCAATGTTGGAAACCAACAACGGGCAACACAGGCAGCCAAGGGGCAGGTGTCTTGGTGTGGGTCTTTTGATGGGAGACCCCCAAAATGGCTTCGGTGCTTCTTTCGGGTTCACCCAACAAGGGGCACCTATTCCAAAGCAAGACACACCCTTCTAGCGCCAAATGACCAAAAAAGACACCAACAACGGGGAGGCAAGGGTGCCAAAGGGACGCCACTAGGGTTATCTTCTCCACCCCCCCTATTCTACACCGGGAAGCACTGTGAAAGTGGATGGCACACTTCTCGGTAGGTGCAAGGAAGGGAGGTTAAACCAACATAGGTTTGTGGGAGTGGGTGGCTCGAGCCCCTTACCCTTTTCGGCTTCCTTATGGGGTTCAACTGTCAAGTCCGTGGCGCCAACTGAATTCTGCTCCGTTGTTTCCCCAGTCGGTTTCGGTCACGTTTTATGCACAAAAATAGGCCAGGTGATACCCCCAGCAACCTGAAACACTTCCGGAACCCGACATCACCCATAGCTTGCAGTTGTTTGGAAGTTCATTCGGCCACCCAAAAAAAACAAGTCTTTGAATGGGTTGCCAAGGGGTGGTCTTCTCCCCCACCCCCAGACCAAAATTCAAAATGCAACAACAACAATCCCCCACGCAGAAACAAAATGTCTCCCCCCTCTCCCGAAAAAATCAACGTAACCAAATAACAACAACAAACAGTCCCCCCCCCCCGCAAACCACCCACCCCCCAAAAACAAGAGAAAAGCACAACACAACCGAAACAACACAACACCAAACAAACCTTAAACCAAAAAAGAACAAAAGCACAACAGCAACACGAACAACAACACAACGGCACACCAAAAATGAAGCAAAGTCCGGACATCGCCGAGGAAGAGCTGGGTGGGCGACCCCACCCAGGGCGCCCGCGGCATCTCCGGGGGCCAGCGCCGGCGCCTGTCCTTGGCGCGGAGCATTGCGTGTGGGGCACCTCTGGCGGTTTGGGAAGGGGTGGGGAATGGGGGGGCGGGGTCCAACCCCGCCCCCACTTGCTGGCTTTTCCCTGTGATGGTCAGGGGCCTTCGCTGGGAATCCTAAAGGAAACCGCTCGGGATTCTTTAAATCGGGACCATTCCATTTCTCATTCGCACCAGCAATGTGGCTACGATCTTTATTGGAAAACCACCCAGAAAGTCGTGGATCATGAATCCAGCCACCAAAGTTTGATGTCCATCCATGGGGTCCCCAATTAAAATCCCACAAGTGAGGTCCACCGAAATGAATCCCCACCTCAAATCCCATGTGGGCCGTTTCGGAAAGCCTTCGTCGAAAAAACTCGGCCGAACTCCGAGGCACGGATCATGTTCTGCGACGAGCCCACCTCCGGGCTCTCGGCCACGGACGCGGAGCACGTGGTGCGCGCCTCCGGCGGCAAAAAGCGACGCGAGGTCGGAGTGACGCGAGCGGAGAAATGGGACGGAGGTTCAGAAGAAAACCGCGAAGAGGTGGCACCTTGGTAAATGGAAAAGCGTAACGCATGCGTAGCCCAAGCTCCATATTTTTGAGCCGCTGACGTTTGATTCTATCCCAGGTCGCAAGTTTTATTCCAAGCGAAACTACTTGGGAATGGCTCGTCAAAATTAGAGACCCTCCAAAATGGGTGTTTTCCTTTTGTGGTCTGGGCTGTATCTCGTGGGGACCACCTGGGACTTCAACTTTGGTCCTAGACCCTCACCGAAGCGGAGGCCCTTTGGCACATCAGACCCAGACAGTTCCAGGGGACCGGGCCGGATCCCCAGGCTTCATGTATATGAAGGTGTGTTAAAAGTAGGGGCCCTTTCATCCTTATGCAAAGGCGGCACAAGCGGCAGAAGGCCCAAACTGGTCCATATGTTTGACAACACCCCCTGTGTGTATATTTATATATACATGCAGAAACACAATTAATTGTTTTACAAGGTTCCAGCCAGGAAAGGCAAGTCCACACCTGGGTTCTGAGAACCTTTCCTGCAGGAGGCCTTTCAGCGTACGCTCGGCTGAGGCTACCTGCGCCTCTTGTCCCACAAGTACTCGGCGACGTGGCAGCAGAAAGGCTGTGCTTTCGCGCCTGCGGGCGGTGTGATGTTCATTCTGGTTTTGTGTGGGTCTGCCTCAAAATAGGAATCGAAATGGTTGGTGTTCTTTTGGTTTCCCTTGAGAAAGGGCGGATGAGTCCCCCACTGAAAGGGCACCGCCGCTGAGCATGACGCTCCGGAATGATCCAAAGTTAACACTACAAAACATGCACAGATCATTCGATGTTCACCAGATTCACAAGTTTCACAAGTCGCACAACATGATGGATTTTGGATGCGCTGGGGCTGGAGCGCACAGGAAATGATGGCCTCTGAAGATTAGAAAAGGATTTGATTGCGCAAAGAGGTTGGTTAGGTTTGTCTCAACATAGGAATCGAAACCGGCATGTTTCGGGAGTAGCCTTTGATCCGCGTGGCTCTGAAGCACTCCAAAAGAACCAGCTGAGGTTGGGGTTGAAAATCCGAAGGTGGCAACAGGTGGCGATATAGCAGTTCCATATCCTCTTAATCCCCTGACCAAGCTGACCCCACAACCTAAAGTTCCTGACCTCAACCCATCAAACTCATCAAACGACCCGCGACCCGCGAACCTCCCAGCCACACCAACCTAGAGGGTCCCTTGGCACCTTCTGCTCTTCAACCACAAGCCCCCCTTACCCAGAAGCCATCCTATACCAAGAAAACGCCAGGGCAAGCGACTAAGCGACCCAGAAAGCCCCGCGGCCGGCGGGAGATCGCGAGAGGTGCTGATCATCATGTCCATCCACCAGCCGCGGCGGGAGGTGGCCAGGCCCGCCGGCGCGAGAATGCGGAGGGATGGGATGGGATCCAAGCCGCCCGCTGCGAGGAAGGCCTTTCGAGGACCATCAGTTAAAGTTTGTTGTTTTTGTTCTTGGTGGGGGGGGGGGGTTAGGAAGACCGTTAGTTAGCTTTGTGCGTGTTCTTCGTCGGTTCTATCTTTTTTCTTTTGTTTTTGTTTGGGAGGGGGGGACACGTCGAACAGGGAGTGCAAATATATTTTCGCCAAAAAGATATTCCTCTTGCGAGAGCGGTTTTGCTTCCAACTGAGTTTTCAAGAGACAGCTTGAGCACCCAACTGCCCTAAGAGGCATTTCCCCGTGAAAAGCCCTTCGTCCCAAAATCAAGGGAGCAACCCAATTGGGTGGTTTCCGATGTCCCTTTAGGTTTGGCAACAACTAGGCCCTGGTACCCCTACACCTTTTTTCCCCAACCGTATCCGAATAAGTTTGTCTCAAATCAGGTGAGGCACATGGGTTTCAGTACAAACCGATGTCTCTTCTTCGTGTGTGTCTAGTTGTTTTCTCTGAGGGTGAGACCATAGACCCCTGCCGAGTGAGGAAGCCGGGGGGGGGGAGCAGAAGGTTTGACGCAAGCCAAGTACCACTCATTTGGTCAGAAGGTCCTTTCATTGGTCCCTCCACCTTCTTTGGGCGGGGTTTCCCGATTCGTTTCCACTTGGCACAAAGCCAAGCGGGACAGCCAAAAAAGAGGTTATGAGTCAATCCTCTGAGAAACCGCCTTATAAGCCGCATGGGCAAAACGATCCTCGGTTGACCTATGGTTTCCCTTTAAGGCCCAAACCGGATGCTTGTTTCACCCGAGCCAAGGAGAGTTTCCCTTTAAAGCCACCCCAAAGGGATCTAAAGGGGGTCCCCCTAAAAAAGACACCGACACAGTATTGTTGATGGAACTTTTGGTGGTGACTCGACACCTGTAGGTTCCGAACCACCAATCCAAATCACCAACTCACAAAAACCGCATTGGCCATTTTGGCAGGTGGTTCTACGACCGGGCTTTATGAGGGTTGTAGTAAGGCCTATATAGGTGTGTGTGTGTGTGTCTTTTTAGGACTCCCCCCACAAAGAAAAATGTGGTTTGTTTTGGTTTCCCTTTCAAACCACAAAGTATATACTACATAAACCTTTGTGGCTCCTTCTTTGTGGAAAGTCAGTGGGCGAAACCATGTGCTGCTCGCTCGCGAGAGGCTCTTCGATGAGCTCATCCTTCTGACTTCCAATCCTGGGCGTGCGGTGTATCAGGGCCCTTTGAGCGGCCTCTCCGAATACGCCGAGAAGGCACGCGGTGGAAAAATCTCGGCGAACCTTTTGGAGGTGTGGGCTTTTGCACTACTTCGTAACCTTTGTTAGGGTGGGTCAAAGTCAATTTCCTGTAGCCCACTTCTAGGCAACAGTTTGGATGCCTCAACTTTGGACACCACTTGGTGCGCTCTTTGCGCTCTGTTTTGGCCTGGTTTTATGGAGGAACCCTCCGGTGGGGCATCCACCAACCGGGACGGCAAACGGAGGATTCGAAGTCTTTTACGTGGGTTTCCTGTACCAAATTTCATCTGCCGCACCTCAAAAAATGTCCCTCGAAAATCACCCGCCTCTCGTTCTGTGGCGAAAAACAACGTTTGACTTTTGCGGCAAATCCACTGAGGAGGTGGGGGCAGTTCCTATTTCCGTCGCCGCTGGTGTTCGGAAAGCCAGTTCTCATGCGCCGCTCGGAAGAGGGCCCCAAAGCGAAAGGAGTGTGTGGTACCCAATTCCCCCCCCCCCCACAAAGAAGAATGAACCTGCAACTGCTTCCCCATAGTAATGAAGGCCCCCAAATTAATGACACATACTTTCTTGAGGCCCCACAGGGCCCAACTACTAAATTGGAATAATCCAATTCTAATTAAACAGGTACTAAACTAGCGATTTCTTTTGCCGACCTCCCCTAAATTAACTAGCCTCCCACCGACCGCTCCCCTGACGCGGTTTACCCCTTCCATGCAGCAACCCTTCGCCCGTTGTTCATCACAAAAACCTCAAACTTGAATGGCTTGAGGGAAGCAACCCGGGTGGCACGGGTTTAGAGGAGGTTACGGGAGAGGTAGGGGGGCGGGTAAACTGGGGTTTCGAAACGTTTAGCTAACTCCAGGCCTATCTAAGCAAGGGTTTTTGTGAATGAGCAACCCTTTTTTTCCAGAGGTGGTGCAAAGGCGAATCATGACTGAACTGCTCAAAGACTTAAGAGAGACGTCGGGACCCGATTCTTCGCCTCCCCCTATCAGAACCCGCAAGCTTTTTTTTCTGGGGTTGGGGCTTATAAATGCTTCAGCACCAAGAGTTTTGTGTGAAGTGATCCTGGTTTGGAAGGACTGACCCCAACGCGCTGGCGATGCCAAAGAAAAATACAGGCCACGCAAAGGTCAGGCGTCCAAATGGAAAGACATACTTGGCTGGTGGCCGGCGCTCTTGGTTACAGGTGCACGGTGGGATATGAGATTGGAGGTCCCACTTAATTCTGGCCCCCCTCAACAACTGAAAGGCCTACCCGCAAAAGAAGAACTCACTGTGGGGCCGCACCTAGTAGTGGGGCCTTCGGGACTTACTCAGACCCATTTCTTCCATTTTGCTTAAGAACATGTGTTTGTTTCCCCTGTTTGTTTAAAGACATCTATCACTACTATATTTTTTTCGTTTTCCAGGGGGCTGAAGCAAATGGAAGATTTAAACACGGGCGCAACAAGCCCCCTCCAAGCGGGATGTTTTAGCTTCGAGTCTTGGAGAGGTGGGCTTCGTCGTGCCGAAGCAAGTGCGGCCTGGCGCAGATTGCTGGAGGCATGCCGGCCGGTATGTTTTCAAGTTGTACAGGCCCCCTGTTTGACATCCGTTTTTTTCTTTTTGCTTTTGAACAGTCTCCTGACTTTTTGCTCTAACTGGCCCATATGCTTTCATTTCCTTTAAATGCCAAAAGGGACAAATCGATCTTTGGATTTAAATTCAGGGTGAGACAAGGAAAACCCCCATCGGAAATCACCACAGTGGCAAATAAATATGTCGAGGGTGGGCCGAAACTGAAGGTGTTCGAGGTAGTCTCCTATTTAAGCTGCGTGCTTAAAGTGTTTTTTGGGTTGTTTAGCGCTGGGTCGGCTCCAGAGCGAGTGTGAAATACCAGCTTACCTACTCAAATTCAGGATCACCGAACCTCTTCAACAGTTGACATTTTTTTGTGAACTGAAAGGCAAAACACGAAAATCGCTTTGAACCGTGAGAATTGCTTCCGGGTGTTTCTTTGCGTGGAGCGTGCCGCGTGTGAAGGGCTTTCCGAGGCTCGCAGGGCTCCGGGGCCTCGGCTCAAGTCTGAGGTTCCGGTAGGATGCACCGGGGGTCTTCTAAGATCAGCTGTAAAAGGGTGCAAAATGGTTTACGGGTTTTGTTGTGACCCGCTGGGTCACTTGGTTTCTTTGCAGCCGAGTCTACCATGTACATGATCCTAACAATGAACCTCCCCCCTCTTCTTTGGCCTTGCTTGGCCTCATTTGTTTTCTTCATTTTCCCCCCACAGTTGGGTGAACAGCTAGGGCAATTTGGCCATTGGGTTTGTTCATCCTCCTTACTTACCCAGAAAAGTATTTTGGTGTGTCTTTCTCAGTACCTCTTTGAGTGGCTTTCCCGGGAAACCAAAAGGAACACAAAACCGAAGCCATTTTGGGGGCCCCCGACAAACCCCAGAAAAGCACTCATGTGGCCTCTACTTTCACTCTGTATTCCATCTAGCCCGCGCCCCCAGAGCCGCGCGTGAGCGAATCGTTCCTCGCTCGAGTCGACGAGCCGAGGAACCCCACGGACCGCGTGATGGATCTCATCACGCCGGGGACGAAGTCCGCGCGGGAGCAGGACTTCATCCAGCGGCTGTGGCCAATGGGGTGGGGTGCAGGGGGTGGTTTGGTCGGAGGGGAGTGGGTGGTTTGGGTGGAAGGGTTGAGGGGTGGTTTGGTTGGAGGGGAGAGGTGGAGGGGTGGAAGGGTTGAGGGGTGGTTTGGTTGAAGGGGAGAGGTGGAGGGGTGGAGGGGTGGAGGGGAAGAAGGGTGAAGAAGTGGATGGGGTTCCTTTAACATCTAGGAGATTTCTATGCCCCAAAAAGCAGGGGCCGTTTTGAAGTTGGGGATTCCCCAACATGGTTTCCCAACTAAGCTTGGGGTCCTCCTCTTGCGAAATCTGTGAGGTCAACAAAAAAGGACAACTGAGTCCTTCACCATTTGTTTGGATACACGCTTTCTCAATCAGGGAAGTGTGTTCTGGGCTTCCCCAAAGTTGTTCAAACTTATCCAGTCAGCTTGCATGATTGGAGGGAGGGAGGGAGGGAGGGAGGGAGGGAGGGAGGGAGGGAGGGCGCATGTTGGCCACCTGAAAAGATCACATTTACCGAACACTTGCGCAGCTGCACTTGAAGGAGAATTGCTTGCAACATGGCAACATCCATCATGCGCGCCCCCCAGCCCCGGGCCTTAGCACATAGGGTTCAATCAATTCAGTCTCAGTTGTGTCAATTCTTGGACTCCCACGAATAGGACTCTTCGATGAGTTGCGCACAAGTTTGACTCTGGCTGCGTGTGAACTCCATCACCCACCTGGGGCAAAGTCCAAGGTACATCCATGCTGGGGTTGTTTGGGTTGGGATGGTCCCTTTACATTGAGGCCAGCTAAAAAATAGGACTGTCTGACCAGCTGATGTAGGGAGTCATCCTTGGAACGTTGCAAAGCAGGTGGTGCTTGGATGTATCCCACTTCCAGATCCTTTGGACAAGTGACTTCGCGGTTCCCCCTCCTACAAGGATGGTTTGCACGGTCCAACCCCGTTTCTCGCCGTCAAGACGCAACCTGTTTGGGAGGGACACGTGCGACCTGCTACATGTCCAGATCAACAGGCCAAAAGAAAAACAAACATGCTGTCTTTGTTTTCTTGAAAACAAAAAACAGCAGGGCCGAAAAGAAGACGCAACTTCCCGTTTCAGGGGGGGCAACGAGTCGAGTGATACGCGCCTCGCCGGTTTCGGCGGGCGTCGGGCGGCGGGCGGGCGTCGAGGTACTTCAGCCAGAAGCAGCAGCCCATCCTGGACGAGGTGGTGGACGCGGAGCTGCGGCGCGCCGCCCGGCGAAAATCCGAAAACACCGAAACACCGCAAACAGGGGGGGGGGAGATTCTTTCATTTGCTGAAACAAATCTCTTAAAAAAAGAAGGTGTATATATATATATATATATATGTATATGTATTTGTTTTAACATGTATTATTATGTTTTCTTGTTGGTTTTAAAAGGGAACCGTTTTCACTACTGGACATGTGTTCTCTTTTTGTCCAGGGGGCTTAAGCGCATGGAAGGATTCTAATGGACGGACGTCTTGGTGGCTGCAGTTGGTTTAGCGGGAGTTTCCATTTGACCCAAAAGAAAGCTTTTGGTGGGTGGGGTGGGTCTGGGTTTGTCTCAAAGTTCTACGGGTGTTCCCTGCAGTCCATTCTGTTCAGCCATCCTTCCTGTCAAAGCCAGCGGACTTTTCTAGGGGTACCTTCCCCTTTTTTTAAGGGATCCGGATCTTTCTAGCAAACCTCCGAAAACTACCGGAAAACGGCTGGTTTTGAAATGCGCAATGGTTGAAAAGAATGGGGAATAAACGGTTTGCCTCACAATGTTGGTCTTTCTTCGGGTTGCCCTTCAAACCAATCCTCAAAAGGGGTCCCTCAAAATAGGCACGCCCAAACAGAGGATCCCTAAAATGATCTTGTCCTTTGAAACGACCTGAAAAGGTTGCCCTCAAAGAGAAGCCTTTGGCACGACCGCAAAAGCGACACGCACTGTTTTCACTTCTCTTATGTCACGGGTCCGGAACGGTGGGGCTCGGTGCTTGGACAAAGCCTCCCAAAGGAGTTCGACGCAAAAAGCGGACTTGGCGGCCTAGGCTTCTCCAAGTCATTCCCCTTCTTAATCTTTTTGGGCAGATTCCGCGACCTTCGGGGTTTCTCGAAGACCTTGCAAAGGCAAAGGGTAGTCCATTCCTTTGGCATTGATGTGCATGTCCAGATCAGGTTAGTGTCGGCGTTGTTGGCGCAGCGTTGTCTCGTATTGATGCGGTATTGATTGGGTATTGATTTATCTTGCCTTAGGGCTGTTACTACAGATGTAATGTTGTTTTAGCATTGCCATTTGATGGCTCAGTGCTGTTTAGCATTAATGTATGTTGGCTTAGTGGTTGAGCATTGCTTCATGTCAGCGCAGGGCTGTTTAGTATTTAGAAGGTATTGGTTCCGCATTGTTTAGCAGTGCTTCTGTGTAGTATTGAGTTGGTATTGATTCAGTATTGTTTAGCATTGCTTTGTTCTTTTTTTCTTATGTAGCATTGGTTCATAGTGCCTGTTTGTTTGCTCAGTGCTTAGCACGTTTCAAGGACAAGACCTGTGTTGTTTTCTGAAATGGCGCCTCCATTTGGTGGGCTTTCCAAGTATATAATGTCCCCCAAAGGATCCATGATCGTGAAGCTTTGATTTCGGTGCTTTGGAAGCAAGGCCATTTTCCAGCTCAAATGGAGCCCGGTCCGTTTTTTGTTTTGTTTTTGTGTCAAATGTCGTCACAGCCGTTTGAACCGTTCCTCGGGTTTTTCTCCCCGGCCCTCAAACACCGTCCGGGACCGGTTTTTCTGGGGGGCCCCAGGAGCGGCAGACGCCCATGGAGATCCTGCACGCGATGCGGGAGCCCTTGAAGGCAGGTCACGGGTCGCGGGGCGCAAGGGAGCTGCTGGCCGAACCCCGGGGCCCGTTTTCGAGGTTGTTTTCCTCCATTTGCTGAAATGGATGTTATTATTATTATTGCTGTTTTTTTCCCTTGTTGGTGTTAAAAGGAATTCATCACTACTGGAAGTTGTTTTTTCCCCGCCTGGGGCCTTAACCAAATGGAAGTGGTTGTTTGTTTCGAGTCGACTGGGGGGAGCTTGTTACAGCCTCGAATTGTTTCGGTGCCAACACCGCATTGGCTGCGTTTGGTGAGGAGGGGTTAGTCTCCTGTTCACTGGTCCTGGAAAGAGAAGTTTCCTTTAAAAATGGACCCCGTTGTGGGTTCCATGTTGGTGGACGAGAGGGTTATGTATTTTCTCGCTTGTTCAAAGTTCCTATTAGCCTTTGGGTTTCCCCATTTGTGGACCATTTTTGGTCATGGGGGACCCCAGACGGCGAACTTGTATTTCTGGGTCCGTAAGGGGTAACAGAGTGTTACCCCACAACTCCACAAAACAACGAGCACACGGAACCGCAAAACTTTGGGAGGTGTCGAGCGAGCGCAAGCCCTGAAACCCCTGTGACTCCGGAGGTTTCAGTCATGAGGGACATGATGCGGCTCGCACATCGCATTGGTTTGCTGCCGGTGGCACCTCTTTGAAGCCACAGGAAAGGGATTGACATGGCGGGATTGACCATGTCAATCTGAAGGGGAGCAGTCGCCGTTTACTCGACTTCTTTTTTTCTCGATGGACTGCAGGTCTTCGGGACGTTGCCCACCCTTCGGCACAGCCACGCGCCTAAGGGCAGGTGAGCGTCCGTTTTGAGGCTGCGCTTTTTTTGGTTTAACGCGGTTTCGATATGTGGGTGTGCTTTTTAGGCTGCCCTTTTTCACATGTCGTGGTTTTGCCCCAGCAGGAAAGCCACAAAGTATGTGACCCCTGCAAGCAAAAAACCTGTTGCTTGAACGTTGACGATCAAACTTGCTTTGTTTTTTGTTGGAGGGACCGGCTTGGGTTGATCCTTTTGGTATGCCTTTGAACCACCAAACCAAGGGGCACCAGCTCTCTAAAAGCGACAAACCCCGCCCATTGGCGCGGCTCGGCCGCCCCCTTCCTTCGGGCAGCGGGGGCCCCCCGGCCGCCCGAAGTGGGCGTGGCTCAAAATGAAAGAGCTAGGGTTACGCAGGTTTTAGTCTTTGTTTCCATTCACCTTGGGTTCCATTTTGGGAATTCCCAGTTTTGACCCCCAGCCAAATTTGCCGAGGCAAGTACGCCGTCAGCTTCCGGCGCCAGCTGTCCGTGGTGGCGGCCCGCCAGTTCCGCCTGAGGCGCTTGTGGTTTGGGCTGGGGGGGGGGTCTCAGTGGATGAGGTGTGGGTAGGCTCACTGCTCCAGCTTCACTTCTTTGGTGCATTTTGCCAAGGGATGTCAGGACTTTAACTGTTTGCCAACCAGTGGGTTTCCATGAATCCACTAAAGGGACACGTTTAGCAGGGGAGCAGAAAGCAACCGAGACTTCAAAAGTTTTACGGGGTTGGACCCTGGTTGGCAAGCGCAAAGTAAAGACTTGGGCAATTCACTCAGGAAGTGAGGAGGGGCGAAATCGGGGGCGAACTCGCTTCTGCTGCGTTGCCTTCCCCTTGTGCCCCCCTTCGAAGTCACGCCATTGGGCGAGGACGGAGTCGTTGTCTGGCGATGTTTGTCCAAGCTCGGATGGGCATATCGCCTTCCCATGGGTTTGGGTTTCGCTGAAGGTTCCTTTCGTGTTCTTTACAGGTTTAAGTGAGAGGGCCATATGGTGGTTGATCAGAAGGTGCGGGTTTTGCCTGGGATGACCTTGGGGGGAAACCACCAACATGATGATAATTCCCGCTACATGGGGCCATCCGGGGGCCAGGAATATTGATCACCCCCCATATCTAAATTAACCAGTGCGTTTCCTTCTGTCACGTGGGAATATAACCCTAGTTGGTGGTTTGGATTGGCCCTTGTAGGGTGGTAAATGGTACTCACCTTTGGAAGCTACGCCACCAATCCAAACCACAAATTACAGGCAGGCTGATAGCTAGATAGCACTGGTTTGGAACTGGTTCAGGGCTTCTTTTTTTGGAGGGGGGAATAAAGCCCAGCGGAAGTTGTCCTTCACCTTTCCAGCCAGGAGAGCAGGTTGGGCCACCCCCCACTCCTGTTTAAACAAGTTTTCTAATAAATAGTCGGCAAACCTAGTTACAATGGTTTACAGGAATAAGCGGGAAAGCGGGGGGTTCACCGACCACCTAGCTAACTCCCAGCCCGCCACGTAGCTAAAGTCAAGTCATACAGCTTTCAACCCAGCAGACCCTTAGGCCGATGATTGTCCGGTTGTTGAGGTTTTGTGTTCTCCTTTGGATTTCCCCTCCCATTTGCTCCAAAGGTGACTAGCTAGGGCAAAAACAAAGAGACATACGTTTCCTCGAGTCCGGTACTGCCTGGGAAGCCACACCAAAAGGGATAATCAATCTGGATACCCCTGGCATTCTCTTGGTAAGAACGGGTCTGCCTCAGCAATCGCCAATATTAGAGAAACAACCCAGGTACCCTGAAAACAGCCAGCCCCCATGTAGATGTGTCTTTTCTTCATGGATGCCTTTTTCGGGTTGAAGGAGGACATGCTCATGTCTGGGCGATTTTTCCCATTCCTTTCCCCTCCAACACGCCGCCCTCGGCTAGGTGTCGAGACAAGATGCACTTCCTCGGGGACTTGGCCGGCGTGCCTCGGACGGATCTGCTTCCATCGAAGAAAAGTCCGGGATGTTTTGGGTGCGGTTCGACCTACTTCACAACAGAAAACATGGCGTACTGGGGTGGTGTAAGGGTATGGAAATTGGTTGGTTTTAGGGAAACCTCCTTCATGGGCAGGGCATATTGGTATCACAAGGTGTGATTTTCCACAGCCATGCTTCCAAATTTGCTTCAGGTCGCTGCATTTCCAAGGCGAATCGGCCGGTTGCTTCATTTCCCTTAGCTCAGCTTTCCAAGGCGAATCGGCCTTTGTTACATTTGGATTCCCCAACCCGTTGCTTTCAGGTCCAACCAGCCGTATGAAGGCACATCCCTCCGCGACTTGAGCTTTTTTCCTGGTTTCCTTCAGCGCAGGTGGGCAAGGAAGATCAAGAAAGCTAGGAGGAGTGGCAACTTTTACACAAGTTCTTGGGAACTTACCGGGGGTGATGGGGGTGCGCTTATCTCGCTCGGCTCAGTCGGGAATGTGAAATGGAATGAACCTAGGCTTTCGTCCTCTTCCAGAAAACCACCAGTTGGATCGTTTATAAGGTTCATCCCTCTATTCCCTGGGCACCAACCACCAGTGGGCACAGGATTTTTTAGGGGTCATTCTCCCATTCCCTGCTGCCAGGCACCGTTTTGTTTCTGTTTTGTTAAATAAATAAATCATTACATATATATATATATATATTATATTTATATTTAAGGGTCATTCCATCCAACCAACTCATTCCATCCGCATCTCTCGCACCGATGGCATGGTAAGACACAACCCATGGCTCATGGGCGAGCTCTTGAGCCCTGTGCCAGTCCCAGGGCCCCATGCCTGCCTGAAAGGGAAACAAACAAGAGGCTTCAGGGGTTGGAAGGCAAGACGCCTCCTCCAAAACGACTCTCTTCTTGTGTTTTGTTTGTTTGTTTGTTTTCGTTGTTTGTTTTGTTTTTTGGTTTTGGGGGGGGAAGGGGGGGTAGGCTAGACATTCGATAATGACATGTAGAACCCGCCATTCACATGTTTCTGTGTAGCCCGAATGTGGGCCACTTTTTTCCCGGCGCCAGGCAATCGCCAAGGCCTTGCTGTTCATCTTGGCCTACTATGCGGCTTGGCCGGGGGAAGGGCGGCAGGCGCATTGCGGGGAAGCGTCCATGTCCATTCTTTCCAAGGATCCGAATCTTTTCAGAGAACCTTCTCTTATTCAGGCGGAACGGCGATCTGGGGGAAGCTTCCATGATGTCCATTCTTCTGGGCCGTTTGATTTTTTGGCTGTTTTGGGGTCCCAGTTGTTTTCCACTAACCAGGCATTGTTTTTTGCTGGGGTCCTAGTTCCAGCCAAGTCTTTGGGATCCGAGTCTTTTCAGGAAGCCATCCAAAAACGAAGGGGAAACAGCGATCGGTGTTTGAAGAAACCCGATGGTTGAAAAGAATGAGAATCAACCCCTGGAGCATTGCCAGTTTCCATTCTCGCATTTGTTTTAGTCTGTTGCTTGGGGTTCTTTGCTTTACATCGTCACGGGAAAAGGGCGCCCTGGTTTACCAGCGCCACTGGGCCACTGGGGAGTTGATCTTGACTTTACACGAAAACTTGAAAAGCGAGCAAACCGGAAAACCAGAGAACCCCTTGTCGTGGGGAATCACACTCCGCTTTTAGGGGGATTCCTCTATTTACTCCAATCCTCGGATGAATCCGAACTCATCAGGAAGCACCTTGCATTTGGTTCATGGCCTGGGCATGGATCTGATTCTAAGTGACTAGTTTGTACATTTGCTTGCGGTGAGCTGGGCCTTCTTTCAACTTGCCGGAGGTGGCAACATGTGTCTGTCTGCATGTTGCCAAACAATTGGCAAATGAGCGCCGTTGTAGGTGGTCTACTGGTTGCACGGGTGCTTACCTTCATATAGACCTCTGCAACCGTCCGTTGGCCGAACCCAAAGTCAATGGGTCCAAGTGCTGCTCATTGATCTGGCCGGCGCCAACTATGGGCTCGGGGGAATCCTAAGGCTCTGAAGGTCAAGCAGGAAGGTGGACCTAAGGAAAGCATTCAGTTTAATGACATGACTTTTTGGTGGACATCTTTTCGAGTATCCCATTATACTCTTGGAATCCCATGTTTCTGCCCATTTACTTGGAGCATCAATTGAGTGAAGTTTCAGCAGAACACTTTCGGAAAGATCGCGTTCCTGCATGTGTCTTGCGAATATAGCTTTGGTCATGTCCCGGTGGAAACAAGTTTAAGGTTACTGATTCAAAGCTGCCAAAGCACACACACAGAGGTGAAAACAATAGCCCCCAAGAAACAGAAAAGGAACCTGATAGTCCCAGGTATTGTCCACTCAAAACACCATCACTCACATGATACTTTCAGCATGAGTTAAAGGAGTATTGTAATCCCAACCAAGCCTTGTCCGCCCATGCAACTATACATAGGCCAAAAACTACATCTCACCATGCACTCCCTATGAAGAGCACAAGTTCCCGAGGAGTAAAGTCGGACCTGGGAGGGGCTTTGGGCGCTGCAAGCACTTGGAGTTGCCCTTGGAGTTGCCGGTCGGATGCAATTTCAAAAGCCCCCCCCCAGCCCAGGTCTGCTTTTTATGAGCTTCTCAGCTTCTCATGCGGCATTCCTGACTTGGCTGGATACCCTGTCAAGCCTCTTGGGGGGGGTACACATACAAAATAAGTCCATTCCAGATCCACTCGTCCATTCATCCTCACCCCGAGGAAATGTAGAGGGGAGGCGTACTCCAAGAAAGGGGCCCTACGTGTTTCCCGTTCTCCCCATTGAAAAAGCTGATACTGCGGTGTCTGAGACTCGGCTCTTGACAGAGTTAAGTGACCATGGCCCTTTGGTATTGGGCAACTTCCCCCTAACTTGTGCAGAAATAATTTTGACGCAGCCAACCAAGGAGATCGGCAAGAAGGGCTCGCCTTTGCATCCTGGCGTGTGTGTGTTTCGGTTTCGTGTGGGGTTTGGTGGCATGCGCGCTCCAATCCAAGCGTCTCGCGTCCTTACTTGGTCGGCTAAGAATACTTATTGGGGGGTTGATTCACTTCAAGCATTAGACAAAGGAAAAACACATTGTCTTTTTCCACTCAAGAAGTGAATTTAACCCTGGCAAACTTGTTTTTTTGCCGCGAGTTTAGCTCTCTCATCAGTCATGAAAGTGCACGGGGCCCTTTGTCCAACCGGGAAGTAGGCTTCCAGCAAGGGCTTCCACGTTTGTTGGTGAGAGGATTAGGCAAGGCGGATCCTCACTGCCAAGACGACTTTGTAGGGCAATAAAGTTTGCATGACCAGACGGATCGCTTGCCTTTTTCGACTTTTTCCCTTTTGGTCGGTTTTCCCTCACCCAATAGCGGGATGGGGGCCCCTCCAAAAGTGGCCTGATTCCCCACAGTTCACCAGGGAGAAGCAGCCCCCTAATAAACAGGTTGGTTGATTAGTATGGGATCAACATTCGTCCAGTTTGGCGGTTGAAGGGTGTTTGGAGGCTTTAAGTGGCGGGTGCTACTTCCATAGCCCCGGCCGGGGATCTTTGAGGTCTGGGTTGGGAGGGCTTGGGACAGAGGGGGTGCCTTGTAACCCAGGGATGATCAGCGACATTGCCTTAGATAGTTTGGAGGCGAGCTAGATGGTTGATCATTCTAATTGCGGTTTGGTTTTTTTTCCGGGGGCGCAAGTGATTCTTCACTCGGAGTTGCTATCCACTTAGCCAGGCCCACCATCTCACCTCGCATGCAGGGTCCCATGTTGATTCAGAGGAGCCCCCGGCAACGCCAGAGGTTGGATGTTCCAGAAAAGACTCCCAACACATTTTTTGGAGCCTCTAAGCAAGTTGGCCTTGGCTTTTGACAGGTTCCTCCAAAAGGGGATTTCTCTTACCATGTTTTCTTTTGTTGGCATCAGGAGTTGGGGGCCTCTTTTTGCCAGCCGCGGCTGAAGCCGAGGCAAGCCGGCTACTTCTTTTTTGCCGCTCTGCTGCACAGACCAAATTATTGGTCTCAGTTGTCCAAAGCTATCCTTTTGACCTCTTTAGGTTTTCCTATTTTGGTCTATTTTTAGTCATGGCCCCAAAAAGTTAACCTTTTGTTTCCAGGTCCTTTGGGCAACTGAGTTTTTCCTTCGGCGACCAAATCAACAAACATGGTACCCTCGGAGCAAGTCATCAGAAATGGTGCCGCAGTAGATGGCATCTTAGAAGTATCCGTTTTCTTTGGTGGGTTCCCTCATAAATTGATCATCCCAAAAGAAACGGCCCCCTTTTTCTACCAGGGTCGCTGGGTACGTGGACCAAGGCGTCTCTTTTCGCCATGGTGACAAAAGGGGTGGGGGGGTCCATTTTTGCCCCTCCATTTAATGATGAATGGGGGGATTCAACAATTCACCCACGTATCCCTAAGTGCCAGTATGACTCTTAAGCCTTGTTTGGGGCTGACTCCTCATGTACCTCTTGTTCATATACTCTGTATTTTTGGTTTCTGCTGAGGTATGGTCCAGGTGGGTGGTGGACCCCTTTGGTTTTTGTTTCTTGCAGCAGCTTGTTGCCACTTGTAAGCGTGAGGGTAGCCACCAGGCCGGAAGGCCAAACAGCGTTTCACCTTGGGCTCGGTCCATCAGAAGGCGCACGGCTGTCTCAATAGCCTTGGCCTTTTGCGGGGCTTTTTGGCCCCTTCAAAGGCACAGGCTCCTTTGCAAAAAGGAACAAGTGGTTTGCCAGCAGGGGGTGGTGACTTTTTCATGCGTGGAAGGGTGTTCTTTAACAACTGTAGTCATGATTTGTCTGCATGACTTAGTTATAAGTTACCTCACTGGTGAATCCCCACCATTTAAAAGCATTGAAGGCCCTTAAGAATCAGCTGGAGCACTTCAAATGGCAAAAACATCGTGGTCTTATTCTCCCCTGCCCCGCGACTTGCCTTTGCTGAAAGGACGAGTTTTTTGTATTTTCCCCTGAGTTCAAAGGGAATCGACTTTCACTACTGGACATATATGTGCTCATGTTTTTTTCAGGGACCTCGACTATACATAAGACGACGCCGCTCGCAGCAAACCGCGCTCGAGGAGTCGAGTCGATCGCTGGATGCGCGAACGAACCAGGTGCTCATGGCCTCCTCCATCGACCAAGTGAAGACCATGCCCAAGATCATCTCCGAGCGCTCGGCCCAGCGAAGAGATGCTGAAGCCGTGGTCAGTTCGACGTCGGTTCCTGGTTTTGCTTCTCACGAGATGGTCATCCAGCTGGTAGCCGGGACCCTTAAAAAAATATGAAGAAAAGGAGAAAAACACATGAGAATGGTTCCTATTAGGGGAACCTAGCGCAGATGTTCTTTGCCTCGGAATCCGCAGATCCAAAATGGGACCCAGGGAAGCGGAAACGGAAAGGTCGACAAACACCCTGAATGTTTTTGGACTTGACGGTCGCATTCAACTCACTCCCCGAAATCCTCTGGGTGTCTTGAACTTTTGAGCCAAGCCGCCCTCCCGCCCCCCGCCTGGAAAGCCTGAAGGCGCGGAAGGTGTTTGTTGGCCGCGCGGCATTCTTTCCGCCCTTCGGCCAGTCAGGCGCACCATCATGAAGTTGGAGACGTCAGAGGCAGCGAGTTTCCATGGGAAAGGTCAGCTGTTTTGGTACTTGGTTTACAGGGAGCCTTCTGCAAAATGGGGCAAAAGGGTACCAGAGGTCTGGGCTGCTTGACAGGGTTGTTGCACAAAGCTGCTTGAAACCGCGTATTTCGTTGGATCTGGTGCTTGTTCTAAGCGCCAGGGGCATCACGTATCCTCTCACCTTGGAAGCTCGTCTGGAAGACCATCTTCCTCAAGGGGTGTCTGGTGGCTTAGCAATGTATGGGGCAAACTGTTTACTGGCAGTCACATTTTTTGAGAATACCCCACAACCTGATTACAATCATGTTGGCCATTCTAGTAGGCTTGTCATTTGGCATTCCTTGCCACGTGCATCAATCTCCCGCCTTCCGCACTTCCGCGCGTCCGCGCCTGCCTGCCAATTTCCGCAGGCCTTGTACAGTGAGTGGGCCTACATCTTGCCCTTCACCTTCATGAGCATGTTACAGGCGCGCAGCTCGCGAAAACACGATACGGTGGTACAACCCTGCCCACCCCTGGCTGATCTCCACAAATAAGACCATGAATCCGTAGAAGGGCTGATTTAAGAACACCTGTTTTTTTTGATGGAAGGAGGGGGGGGGAGTAGGGGAAGGTGTGCGTGACGGCGTAGAAATCTCAAGGGTCTGGGATGTGCGGCCCAAGGAATCCACTGTTTTTCCGGCCTTCGGTTCCGAAACAGAAACATCCGCAAGATCCGTATGCCACGCGGTGGGTTTCCGTGTTGTAGTGCTGTCCACGTGCTGTCCTATTCCAGATTACGGACCAGTGGATCCCCATTTTGAGGACCATCTAGGCCAGTGATTCAAAACCCGTGTTGGGCCATGAGACGGCATCCACTCCCTCAGGACCGTAGGAGTGACAGGGCTGCCATACCACCGGCCCAGAACGGTTCCAAAGGAACCCTTCGATCAGCCCTTGCAGGGACGTTCCTTCCATTTCCATTTGCCACTCGGCATGTTGGAGACCCAAGAGTGACGTCTACAGTTCCATGCAGAACCCAACAGTCAAGTTGCACAGATCTCGAGCAACGCGGTCAATGCACCTGCTCTTGTGCCAATTGCAAAAGAAGTCTCCCCTTCTCGGGTGATGTTTCAAGATATGTGTCTCAAATCAGAGGACCCCCAGAGAGGGGGGGTCCTTTTGGTTTCTTTTCAACTTCACGCTGAAAAGCATTCCTCCAAAAAAAGAAACCCAATAAAGGCATATGTACAAGTGTATTTATGTATGTATGTAATTAATGTAATGTATGTATGTAATGTATGTATGTATGTAATGTAATGTAATGTAATGTAATGTAATGTTATGTATGTATGTATGTAATGTATGTATGTATGTATGTATGTATGTATGTATGTATGTATGTATGTATGTATGTATGTATGTATGTATGTATGTAAGTAATGTAATGTATGTATGTAATGTATGTATGTATGTATGTATGTATGTATGTATGTATGTATGTATGTATGTATGTATGTATGTATGTATGTATGTATGTATGTATGTATGTATGTATGTATGTAATGTAATGTAATGTAATGTAATGTAATGTAATGTAATGTAATGTATGTATGTATCTATGTATGTA